ACCCCCCCCCCCCTCCTCCTCCTCCTCTCACGGAGGGGGGGGGTCAAGCCCGCCCGCCCGCGGGGGCCGCCTCGCCTCACCAGCGGTTTGGCCGCCCCGTCCGCCGCCGCCTCCGCCTCCTCCACCGCCGCCATCTCGGCACCGCCGCTGAGCCGCTCCGACGTGGAACCATAGACGCGAGCTGGCTTCCCCGCGGCTAGAGCGACCCGGGGTGGCCGGACGCGCCCAACCGGAAGTCCCGCCCGCCGCGTCGCTCCCGACCGGCCAGCCTCCAGGTGGAGGGGGGGGGCGGAGGTGGTCGCGGGGAACGGGAGCGTCAGCTGCCCTGGAGATAAATGGCGGCGTTGGGCTCCGCGCGGGGAGGGGTCTTGCGGGGGACGAGACACGCTGGCAGGCACACCCTCCTTAGGACGAGGGGTGTCGAACTCAGTCGTTACGCGGGCCGGACCTGGCTTAAAGGAGACCTTGTCGGGCCGGGCTTTGTGTGTCATAAAATGGAAGGCCAGGGAGCGGAGAGATAAACTTTATAAAGGACACAGACAAGCACGATTAGAGATATTTTAAAACTCAAAATAAGACATGCTTAAAACATTAGCACTCTTGCAATATTTTATTTAACCGTCAACTGACACCTCTTGCTCTGAATTATTGCATCAAAATCTGGAGACAGTGTCTGCGCCTAGCAGTCATCATGAGTATGCTGTTCAGGTGTTTATCTGTAAGTTGCAAACCTTCTTTTGATTTAATTGACATTCATTACAGAAATCTCATGCTCAGTGCTCTGATTCTATGACAGGGGGGGGGGGACATGAAATGGCTGGGCATTGTGAGCCTTTGTACATAAGATGCTTCCTGTGCTGATCAAGAACATGTGAAGGCATCATGACATAGAATGAGGGCTATATGTTTGTCTACGAAACTATAGCCTTCCCAGAAAAATAACTGCTATGAGGCCGTGCAAGAATAGAGAGACAGCCATGGGGAGTCTAGGGAGCGGTGGCGCAGGCAGTTAAACGCCTGCTACTAATAACATCTACGAACAGCTGTACAGCTGTTTGATACCCGCCGCGGTCAGATTGAGCACCTGGCCCTCATCCCAGCTCCCACTAACCCAGCGGTTTGAAAGCGCCATTAATATCAAAATAAGCACAAGTAGATAAATTGGAACCTACCTTAGATGGTAGGGGGCACCCTCCCCATTGTGGGGGTCGTTGGAGGGTCGCAGCTCGGCGGACGGCGAAAGCAGCAAGCGGCGAAAATTGCGTCCAGGTACATTGGTGGCGAAACCAGACAGCGGTGGAGAAGGCGGAGCCGGGATGACGCACGAGCGTGGCGGCGCAGGCGGGGTGGAGTCGCGAGCACAGAGCCAGAGAAAAAGAACCCCCCCTCCACTGGGTGCCGGTAGGGATGTCCCCACCCCTAAGAATTGTGGCCATAGGTTAGGGATAATGGATAACTTTAGCCGCTCAGAGGCAAGTCGAAGAAATAAATAAATAAATAGGTTCAAAATCCCCAGTCTACAAAGGAAATATGCTGGTTGAACTTGGTCTGGATGCACACAAACAGCCTAATCCACCTCCCTGGCTTGTTGTTATTCTTTAATTAAATAGTTTGCATTGCTTTCCTCCTGAGAAAGACTGGATCATGAGGGCTCGGATACTGTGATAGGGGAGGTGAACCCGGTTGCACCCAGGAGAGCCTCAGCATAATGAGCCCAACAAAACACACACTCTGTGTGTGAAGAAAGGCAAAAAGCTCATACCTTGAATAAAACTTTGTTGGTCTTAAAGGTGCTTTGTATCTCTCCAGTATGATTGTCAGTTTCAGCAGCAAGTAAATCTCCACACACGTTTCCAGGGAAGCGTTATAATTTATTAGGCTACAGGTCTGTTGCCATGATCTACAGGTATATTGTTAGGAATGACAATGGGTTGGATGCATCCCTTCATATAACATGATGCTGCAAATGGCTAAGCAAATGAAATCCAAGCGCGGGGGGGGGGAGGATTCTCCCGGTGGGAGGTTACATAATGAACGGTAGAGTCTCCGTGCCTCATGAGAGAAGAAATATTCACACCAACGGTGGAACGCAAGCCCTCCCTCCTCCTCAAGGTTAGTCAGATAACCCAGTCTGGCAGCGCCAGTTCGCACGGTCTCAGGAGCGCCTCCCTATCGCTGTTTACAGCAAGCGAGCAAGCATGCGCCGTAGCGCCACAGTCAGGAAAGGACACATACAAATGAAATATGGCCGCCAGCTGACAATGATTCAGGGGACTGAGCGAAGCAAGCCCTGGCTTTTCCCCTCCCCCTCTCTCCCTCCCCAGGGGAGGGGGAGGAGCCTCAGCCAATGGAGAGAAGAGAGGCTTTGCTCTGTGGCGCCTGTGCCATTTAGAGAGCCTGGCAAATCCAGCTGTGATGCAGAAGAGAGCTGGTTGCTTCCCCTGTATGTTTGACACCCTTTGCTTCAAGGGTAGCTACTAGGCAGTGGCAGTAGTGGGAGGGAACACTGGCAGGGGATCTTTCATAGGCAATGGCAGTGACACTTCTATTAACCCTGGTTAGTACTGCACAGAAGGTGGCAAAATGGTGAACCACTTCTGAGCAGCTCTTACCTCAAAAACCCTCTGATGAGGCATCCTCTGGCCTCTGAAACAGCCATCCAGATGTATCTCCAAGGGCTGAGTTCTACCATCTCTATGCAGCTGGCAGTGTTAAAGCCTGAAGCCTCTTTACCGCCCTCATCCCAGCAACTGTCCACGTTGGCTTTCTGAACACTTTTCTTATTTATCAAGAAACTCTCTCTCTTGCTGCAGGCTCCTTGGTTTTACTGTACATACTTTTGAAACAGTGCAGAACATTCATGTGTTGTGAGCTGCGAACAGAAAATGTTACTGAAAAATAACGGTTCTTTTATTTCTTTTAACTGCAAGTACAAAATGTTCAGCGGCATTTGAAGTTTAGGGGTTTATCAAGGGACCTATGAATATCCTTCCAGAAAATAAAATAAGACCCCAGAAATCAACAATTGGCAGCAATGTAACATTTACAAAAATATCAACGTATACCATTATTTTTGAAAAATAATTTACAAGGACAAAATACAAACTGTATTGAGGTTCCAAAGGAAATTCCTGGCTGCAAAGCTTCAAAATGTGAAAGAATTAGGCTCCCTCAATAAATACCAACAGTATTTTCTGTTATAGAATTCAATGCACCCCTTTTAGCAGTGGAAAAAATTCAATTACCGGTAGCTGCTGCAAGAAACACATCCTTTAGAAAACAAACAACATATACAGCTCTTACAGTCCTGCTGAAATTAGGCCTAATCCTCAGAGATTAATGCTCATTAATCACACACACAAGATAGCAAAAAGTTTATCTAAGTATTCTGAAACTTGCCATACAGATCTCTCTCTGGCGAACATTCCTGATGCCAGTTTCTAACTGTGCCATCCTAAGCAGACATACTCCCTCTCCAAATCCCCTGCAGTCAGGGGCTCTGCTCAGGACGGAATGGTGAAAGTTCCTGTAGAGAACGCTGCAGAGGGTGTGTGCTGACCCCCCTTGCCACCACCGTCCCCCACGTGTTCCGCACTGGGAGGGGCCACCTGCATCTCCCACGGACTGGCAGTTGTACACCTGCCCCAGCTGGATTCTGAGGGCACAAGAGGTTGCAGATGGAAAAAGACCGCAGATCATGCACCAGACACCTCTCTGGGGACTAGGTACCTTGCAGGCTTTCAGAAACGGGGGGATACTTCCTCGTTCAGCCTCATTGCAGATCCACAACAGGGTTCCTATAAGGCAGGATTCCTATAAGACAGCTGCCCAACAACCTGTCTTGGGCAGCCCGTTTCTGGCTGGCAGAGAGAGCAGCATCCGACCAAGACAATGAAGGGGTGGCTCCAGAGAGCAGAAGGTGGGCTGCTGGCTGCCCCCCCCCCTTCCGCTCCTCAAAATGTAAACCCTTTGAAATGGCAACCCCCAGGAGTCAAGTGAGGGCTGAAAAGAAAGTCAGCAGGAGCAAAAGGGAGAAGGAAACTTTGAAGACACGTGCCCAGATTCAGTTGGGGTGGTGGTGGTGGTGGTGGTGGAGGAATCAAGTGGAGCCCAAGGCCTTTCCTAAGCCTGACCCAGCAGATCTGTATAAAGATGCACATGCAGCCCTGTCACGTTTATTTTAGAAAACGTTTACCCCATTTTTCTATGAATCAATGAATACAGAATCAAATCTAACAGCAGTCAATAGATCCATAAAAAGAGCAAACTCATAAGACAAACATAACAGATGCTGTGCTTTGGTAGATCAGAGCCATGGGGGTAAAAGACAACTTTTCTGAAACATGTGGTATGGATTGAGAGTCCAGATGTGGAGAAGGGCAGGACATGCCAAAAATACAGACAGATCCCCACACACACTCACGAGGCAGACAGAAAAAATGATGGCATTTAGGAACTGTGCCATACTTCTCCTGATAGCTACACAGAGTTGCAAACACTGGGAAAGGATGCTGAGGGGCCCTGCAGTGTTTGACTATGTGGGACACCATGGTCCTTATTTCTTTCAGGACACCTTCGCTATGAAAAGAAATCTCTTCTCACAGAGCTGAAAAATGAGACTAATTATGGCATGTCACAGAATTACAGGGCTGTCACCAAACATGGTAGCCCCATGTCAAGTTTCCCCCCTTCCCCTTCCCCTGGCATTGTGGCATTATGCTGTGTTTCCCCTGTCTCAGATAAGACTGATACGAGTGCAGATTGGTTTATAAACGTTTTATGAATGAACCCTAGAGATTTTAAACTGTCTTAACTGAATTGTGCTGGTTATGCACCGAATAAAAACTGACTGACTGACTGCCTCAGCAGTAGCGGCCAATGGAGCACATCACATAATTGTGGCAAGCCAGACAAAAAAACCCCAAACCTTTCCTCTACCAGGAAACCAAACAAGCCACCATTTTGGTGGCACACATAAAAGCTTTTACTTGAAGCGGGGGGGGGGGGGGGATTGTTTTTTCTCCAAAAATTACAGTTCAAAAGAGAAACAAAAGGAAGCTACACCCTCCCCCCAGATGTAAAATGGCACCACCAGCCAAATGCACCTGTTTTTTTGCTGCCAGAGACCCCAGAATGCAGAACAATAAAAACATGAAGTCTGGAAATGTCAAACCCGAACAAGAGTGTTAGGGGGACATCAGGCGTTGTCGTCTCACGCAGCAGCAATAACGTTTCCTTGGAGGGATGCCAGGAGTCTCTTGAGAGCGTCCCACTCATTTAAATTAAATCACAGCAAGGTACAGAATCAACACAGAAGGGCCTTCAGGCATCAGATTCAAGTAAGAGCGGCCCACAAAGGGTGAGCCACACAAGGAAGCCGGAGGCTGTGGGCTGCTAGACTAGAGAACAAGAGGACCACCCAACGGAGCTGGATCTTGAGTCCAGTGGGGCTAATGGCTGTGATGGTTAGTGGACTTCTGGCCACCAGCTTTTGAGGTGCCGTGAGAAGGGTCTCCATGCTCTTTGCAAATACTATCACAAAGATCAAAAAGGTGAACCGCTAGAAATAGATCATCACCCGGGTTTCCTTGTCAAGGATCCTCAGCTAGGCTTTCACTCCGCATTCTGACACTTATTGCTACACAAGTTGAACCCCATTCCAGCAAGCAGCCTGCCCAGCTCGACACCTAAGGCTGCACAATGAGCCAGCCCTCTGCAGCCCAGCGCTGGGAATTCTGCCTGGCAATTGTTGCCAGGCAGCAATAAGACAGAGCTCAGGCCAAGGTGAGAACAGCAGACATGACAGACCCTAGGCCAAGCTGGGTCCAAACGGCGGGCAGGAGATCACGCGAAGGCTGCTGAGGGAAGAGGTGACGACAAGGAAACAGTCCCGCTGGAAAGGCCACAGGCAGCAGGACAACGGCCTCCGCTCTGGACGTGAAGACCCGGCGGCGCTCCATCACTCACTCACTTGGGCGACATCCCTGGTCTCAGTCATGAGGCTCCGAGCACCTTCGCTCTGCTAAGGAAAAGCCACAAAAGAGTCTCGAGTGAGCAGCAGCAGCAGTCAGTGTGAGGCCGCCTGACCCCTGGGCCTGAGGGATGGCAAGTGGGGGTTCAGCTTGCACATCCCCACCCAGCCGTGGCCACCCAAGAACGCAGATCCTTAAACAAGAGACTCTGCCCTGTTGAGATACAGAACAGTAAATCAGGAGGCCTGACAGATTTTTCCTCTTGCAGGCTAAGCCCCCATCCCCCCCACCTTTGCCCTGGACATGGCAGGTTGCACACCCACACACTGAACACACGTTCAGCAGTCCAGCCTGGCCCCCTTCCACGCGTCAGGTGGATATTCTGCCTATCTTTAAGCCCCTGGTGTGAATCTTTTCATTTAAACATTCATGCATTCCGATTTTTAAAAAAAGAAAAAGCGCAATCCATTTAGAACGAGTTGCAGAACTGCTGGGAAGACGGATCAGCCCTGGACACAGTCCACCTCTGCTGCAGACTTGCAAAAGCAGAACAAGAGCCTGTCCCGAACGTTGTGTGTGTGTGTTCGGAGAGCAGCCTCGTTGCTGGAATAAGGCTACGTCCAGACGCAGCCAAAGCCTCACAGCCACCGAAGGGGAAGGCGGGGGGTCGCCAACCTCCGTCCCGTCCCTTCTTCCCGTGCCACTGTGGTGGCCCTTCTGGCCCAGAGAAAGAGAGTCCTGCACCACTTACCCGCTGCTCGTCACTTTCAGCAGTAGGGTTCCGGAAGGATGAATAAGATCCCGAAGTGAGCCTGGCCTCGGCTGCTGGGTCCCCACGAGAGGCAGGGGCCAGCTCCGTCCTGCCCCTCAGGGTCCTCTCAGCAGCGTCTCTGTGCAGCAGCCCAGCCCGGGTGGAGAAGTCCTGCAGATCCAGCTCCGTGCACTCCACAGGGCTGTGAGGCCAGGGATGCTGCATCTCCGTGGCGCAGGAGGAGAGAGGCGCTGGGTCGTCAGGGTCCCTGGCAGAGTCCTGCCTGAGCTCCGTGAAGGAAGAACCCCCGGCAGAACCGTTGCTGCACCTGGAGTCCCGGAGCAGGGGCCGAGTGTCCAGGGGGCTCCTGGCCTGCGGGGCTTTGGGACTGGCTGTGATCCGTTTGGAGAAGTCCCAATCTGCCTGCTGAGTCGGCAGATGGACCCTGAGCCCTTCGCCTCCGGAGAAGAACCGGACAGCTTCGGCAGGACCTAAGGCCAGAAACAGGACCAGTGAGAAGCAAGAAGTCTCCAAGAAGGAACCTGTTTCTCCTCTGGCTGCCAGTCCCTTTCCCCACAAGGAGGACGGTGAAGCCTCCCAACCACCGATGGAACTGGACAACCAGTTCCCTCTACAGCAGCTAGCCATTCCTGCCAACAAAACTATTTAAAAGAACAGAGACCATCACTGGGCAAGTGCAGACCCCCCCCCCCGCGGGCCCAATTCCCTTCTGTCCAGATGTGCCTGCCCAAAACTCAAATCCTGCCATCAGACTACGCCCCTCCAAGTGGAGGCCCATGCATTTTGAGTTCAAGGCAGCCACTTCTACACTCAGAGGGTGGGCAATGCCCCTTTGGAACAGCCACACAGAGAAGGTTTTGTAATCACCACATTCATAACTCTCTGGATACAAGCCTGGCTCACCCTCCATGTTATCTATCTACTGCCAAGGAGTAGAAGAGGCGGACGCAGCAGTAGGCTGTCATGCAAATGTCATGCAAATGCAGTCCTCAGTTAACACCGGATGTTACACACACATACACACACACACACACACACGGGGTATGATCTGGAAAAAAAATCAGTGCAAAGTGCTTAAGTTTGGCAGGATGGCACCCAGGTACATATGTGGCTGCACGGACATGCATCCAAAGCCTGACTCCCACTATTGCAAGTTTTTACTGTGGTCTTATACTCATTTTATTTATACTGTAAGCCACCTTGAGCTCTACAAGGAAGAAAGGCAGCTAATAAATATTTTAAATACAACGTATGCCAGGGTCTCTTGTCAGCACACCTGAACCCCTGAGCCTACAATGGCTTAAACGACTTCCAGGGATTCCTTGGCCACCCCCTCAGAGCCCGAGGGCGCAACTGCCCGGGAGTCACCTTCCAAGGATCCATGGCGGGGGGTTACGCTCTTGGCGCTCAAGCAGCAGGGATCTGGCAGTCGCTCGTGGTGGGAGAATCTGGCTGGCCCCGCAGAAGCCTGAGACATCCCCCTCTGGCCAGAGAAATCCTGTCTCTGCAGGAGCACTTGCAAAGGATGCAGAAGAAATTAAAAACACTCTGAACCCAGGAGAAGGAAATGGGTTGTTAGCTTAACAAGAAAGTCCACAGAGTTTATTGGTCCGCAATTCTTTTTTTACTGCCCCACATTAGTCATTTGTGCATAATGACAGCTTGAAGGAAGAAGAGAAGAGATTGGATTTATACCCCGCCCTTCACTACCCAAAGGTGTCTCAGAGCGGCTCACAAACTCCTTTCCCTTCCCCTCCCCACAACAGACACCCTGTGAGGTAGGCAGGGCTGAGAGAGCTCTGACAGAAACGGCTCTTATTCAAGAACAGCTCTTATCAGAACTAAGGCTTGCCCGAGGTCATCCGGCAGGTACAAGTGGAGGAGTGGGGAATCAAACCCGGTTCTCCCAGATTAGAGTCCATGCACTTAACCACGACACCAAACTGTATCCATCTCTAGCCCAGTCATGAATAATGAGCAAAGAAGAGGCTCTCTGGAACGGTGTGACGTGCTTTCTAGTCCTGTTTTGCTAATGGGTGTGTGTGTGTTGTGAGAGCATTCCACCTAAAACATCACTGCATTCCACAGTGGTGAGGGGACCTGGACGGAGGGCTCCTGGATCCTAGTCGAATGCAAGCCTACTTCCGATCCTGCTTGCTCCTTGTTCACATTATGACTGGGAAGTTGACGGTTCCCCTGCAGGTGGGCTGGGCCTGGGGCGGGAGTTTAAAAAAAGACCAGAAAAGACATTCCAAGGTGGGGAAGAAGAGTGTGGAGGATGCCTGTCAGGCAAGAGAGTTCCTCATCTCAGCAAATGCCCAGGGCTGACTTACCACGCTGGCACTGGCTTTTCCAGAACCGCTGGCAGCAGAGCAGGGAGAGGACAGAGACCAACACAATGATGACCAAGGCACTGCTGGTGAGCACCGCCAGGGCTGTGTCCAGGGTCGCTCCGGCAGGATTTTCTACCTTCTCTGGGCTAACTCTTGAACGGCCTGCAAGCACAGGGGACAGTTGCAGGATCAGCGGGAGCAGGGAATAGATGCATGCAGATTAACACACGCAGAGGCAGCAATCTCAAATAGGCCTACTCAGAAGTAAGTCCCAATTTTATTCAATGAAACTCACTCCCAGGACTGCTGCCGTAACCATATAAACAGTCGTTCTGGCTGTGCAGAAAGGGTGTGATGTCACACACAATGGTACATTTCCAGCTTCCAGGTTTTAAAAAATGTGACTCTGTGAAGACCAGGGGGAAATAAACTGGGAATTCTCACTCTGAAATGATCCCCTTTCCTTTACACAGCATTAATCAGGAGGCCTAAGGAAGAAGAAGAAGAGGAGGAGGAGATTGGATTTATACCCCGCCCTTCACTACCCAAAGGTGTGTCAGAGCGGCTTACAATCACCTCCTCCCCACAACAGACACCCTGTGAGCAGTGTTCCCTCTAAGCTGAGTTAGTGTGAGCTAGCTCACAGTTTTTTAGCCTTCAGCTCACAGATTTTTGTCTTAGCTCAGGAAGGATGGCTCCAGAGCAATCTGATTTATGCAGTAGCCAAATCGCTCGCTCACAATTTTAATGCCAGTAGCTCACGAATTAGAATTTTTGCTCACAAGACTTCACAGTTTAGAGGGAAAATTGCCTGTGAGGTAGGTGGGGCTGAGAGAACTCTTGACTGAAACTGCTCTTTTTCAAGAACAGCTGTGCCAGAGTTATGGCTTGCCCAAGGTCATCCAGCCAGGTGCAAGTGGAGGAGTGGGGAATCAAACCCGGTTCTCCCAGATTAGAGTCCGCGCACTTAACCACTACACCAAACTGGCTAAAGCCACGGCTGTCAGAAGGGTTTTGTCCCACTACTTAGCACTGGCTATGGGGTTCCTCATAGTAAAAGTCAGAAGAGATCTTAGATCTTTTGTGCTACTAAAGGACATCTATGCTTCCTAAACCAAGCTGTAGGTATTGTGCACGAGAAGAAAACCTGGTCCTGGATGGGGAATCTAAGATTATAGAAATCTCTGCTTTCAAAAAGCCTCAAACATTTCCACACGTGCTTATGCCTGGTGAAATCTCAAAAGCTTGGTGGGAGGTCCCAGTTGGGCTTGCAGTGGTCTGGGCCCTCCAGAACCCCTCCCCATGAGTAGTAGAAGAAAAATAAGTTTGGATAAAGGTTCCAGCATCCAGCTTTTCTGGGTGTAAAATTCTGATTTCTTTCTAAAGCAGTCTCCACACCATCTTGCTACTCTCTGCAGGTAATACAGTTCCTCTGGAATTCAAGAGCTCAGCAGGAGGAGCCAAGATCCTGGCCAGGAGGTTAGCCAAAGAGCCACTGGCACCTACACTGTGGCTCTGAGGGTGGGGTCTGCTTCGTGCAGGGGATGCATTCCAGGTCCTGCAGTCCTCCAATCTGGGTTTTGCTGTAGAAACTGCAGAGAGAAAGGGAGCAGACGCTTAATGGGCCTGCTAAATGGGATCAGACAGTCATGTAATAAATGCAGGGCCACGATCAAGATCCTCCTCCTTGTGCAAAGGGCAGGCATGGAGTTCGAGGAGAGGGAGGGAATTGGTTGGCCTAGCTTGAGCGTCCCCCCAACACACACCCCCCACACCCAATAGTACATTACAGCTTGCTCCTCCCCTCGAGTGCAGCATTCAGCAGTTCAGACCCAGCCGTGAAGACCGCCCTGATTTTGCTGCACGTAGCATGCATAGGAGAAGGAGCTGGATTGGGGCCATGCTTTGAGTGACATTGAAGCAACTGCATTCTGAAATGCTACCGATTCTTTCATCTCATACTTTCAGCCCACCAGTTTGATCACGCAAACTAGCTTTCAGGGATACCCATCAGTCTGGAAGGTGAAGATCCGACTCTTACAATGCAGTCCTTAAGAACACTTTCCTGGGAGTAAGCCACATTAAGCAGACCTGCTTACCACTGCTTTCTCACAGTGCCATCCTAAACAAGGCTACACCCTTCCTTTAAGTCCACTGAAGCTCAAGGGGCTTAAAAGGTTCAAACTCTGCTTGGGACTGTACTGCCAGTGTTCAGGTGCTGGGAGAGAAACAACACATGGAGACTGTACTGCCCGTTGCTTTCAGAACTGTCCACGCCCACCCCCCACCCCGCAATAGGCCCAGTGAGTTAAACAAGGGCCCCACCTTCAGCAACCCCTTTCCTCACAACTTTCACACCACAGAACCCTTGCCTGGCTGAGTGGGGATCTGAAGCCGGGTCTCTCAGATCTCAACTCAGCACTTTGATCACTATGGCAAACCGACACCTAACCGGCCAATGGCAGCCCTGCTCTTCCACCCGCTTACCACGTAACGCCCTGCTCCTGTGACCCTCCTCGTTGTCAGCTGTGTGTCTGCAAGAGCCCCTGCGGCTCCCACAGCTCTTACCCAGGGAAGCACTCTCCGCACGCTGCGTCCGAGGTGGCCGTGCACGGGGACTGCTGGATCCGGTTGATGAGGCTGCAAGAGAGGCAGGGCTTGCAGCCGTGGTGGCCCCAGCTGTCCTTAAACCTCCGGGGATGGCACGGCGCACACTGCGAGTCACCGCCTTCACCATAGCCACACTCCTGCAAAGAGACACAGCGGATCCATCAAGACAGTCCTGTTGGTACCTGTCTACCCCCCACCAGACGGCAGCAGTGTGAAGTGAGAGCCAGCCTGTGTGCAGGAGCCACCACAGAGGGAAAAGGGACACACGGAGATCAATGTTCCCTCTAAGCTGTGGAGTCCTGTGAGCGAAAATTCTACTTTCTGAGTTACTGGTGTTAAAGTTGTGAGCAGGTGATTTGGCTACTGCCTGAATTAGCTTGCTCCGGAGCCATCCTTCCTGAGCGAAGGCAAAAATGTGTGAGCCGGAGGCTAAAAAACTGTGAGCTGGCTCACACTGACTCAGCGTAGAGGGAGCACTGACGGAGATCCTGCACTGTCTCTAAGCAGACCTATTGATTTGTTTATTAAATTAGATTTGCTAGGCTGCCCTTCCCTACCAGTAGGGCTCAGGGCGGCTTATAGCAAAATAATATACAAATTTCAGATTAAAACAGCCCTATAAATACCAGTACATAAAACAGCATAGACAAGATGGCAAAAATGCAGCATATATGGCGGGGAAGGATTCCAACTCCCCAGCCTCCCTGGAGGGGGGTTACGAGGGAGGGGGACTGGTGTGAGAGTGCCAAAAGATGCCCCCCCCTGTCCTCAGTGCTTGTCTAAGAAGGCCATTCGCCCCACAGCCCATGAAAACAGACCCCGAGAGCAGCCCGGGGGGCAGCTCCTGTACCGCCTCTGGGGGCATGGAGGAGCAGGGGGCGGGCAGAAACAGCGGTGCCAGTACAGGAAGTAGACAGTGATCTCTGCCTCTCTCAACTTCTCCGTTCTGTGGCTGGAGGTTTTGTTAGGCTGCAGAAGCAACGGGGAAGAATTCGAAATGCAAGCCCAATGTCAGAGCCACAGAGTAGTAGCTGTTCAGAGCCATGTGCCCACTCTTGCTTCTCAAAGCAAGCCATGCCCGGAGCTGGCCTGGCCTCAGGAAAGGGGGCCCCAAGAAAGGAGGGCACCCCAAGAAAAGGCCTCGCTGCATTGGGGCTCGGCTCGGACAAGAGGGGCTCCCAGAGACGTGGCCCTGGGACAGAGGGATGCACGGGGCTCTCGAGCCAAAGAGGGTTTTCTGGGCTCACACCAGTACTCAGAGTGGTGCTTGAACAGAAACGAATGGGACTGAATTCCAAAGGGGGCCAGAAATAATGGCTGGGGGAGAGGCTGAAGAGCAGCCGTTTGCATGACGGCTACAGGAAAATCCCCGGTTTGCAGGCCGCCTCTCTCTGCATGTTGGTTGCTGGTGAAACAGAGGCAGGCCCACCTTTCATTTGCTGGAGGCTGGTTTAGATGGACCTTGGGTGTGGTGATCCAGCAGGGCTCTTCCAGTGACCCTACAAAGGGGGCCTAAAGCATCTGAGGCCATGCCGAGTCCCCAAGGATCCAGCCCACAGCAGTGGGGAGCTGCAGCTTCACCTGACTCGGGTCAAAGCGGCTCATCCATATGCCCAGAATTCAGTGACGAGGCGGGACTCATTGGGAAGGAGCTGTGTTTTTGCTCAGCACCTCCTCACCTATGGCACCTCTTTCCTCCCAAAACAGGACCATGCTTTAGAAACCCCTTTAGCTTTCCCATCTAACTTCTGAAACAGTTGAACAGGAGAGCGGATGCTTTGTGTAAGGGCCCAGTTTCTCTGGTCTGCCCGGAACACCAGAGGGCCTCTCTGCCAGTGGAGGGTCCAGGTGAGCCTGCTTGGGGGACATGCCGCCCACGCAGAGGAGGAGCTATCGCCTGGCCAGGATCTGGTCCCAGGAGGTCTTGTCTGCAGTCCTGCAAACACTCCGCTTACTTTGGAAAGCTGCAGTCCCGGTCCACATTCCCTGCAGGGGGCGCACTTCCCATGCTCATCCAGGTATTCGCTCGCTTGGCACTCCACAGGGTTGGCAAAGGGGTGTGGTGCCTGCAGAAGACATGGAGAGAAAACAGGGCACCCATAGACCGAAAGGACTTCAAGCTGGTCTAGTTGTAGCGGTGGAAGGTGCCCGTTAGCACCTGTCCTGCTGGGGCAGAAGCTTGTGCTAGACAGGAAACTGAGCTGCAGAGACATGGCATAAACTGGAGGCTCCCTCACAGAGGCGGCAAAATCCGCCCCGCAATATATGCCAGCTCCTGGTGGTGGTGGTGGGCGGGGGGGAGATGCACGGCACTTCCGCAGCCTGGCAGCCCTCTGAGCACACAGAGGCAGCTGGCTATTGGAGCAGAAAGGCTACACTTGACGGGCACAGAAGAAACCAGTCGCAACAGAGGAGCTAAAGGGGTCTTTCTCTCTTTCACCATCTACTTCTGCTCTGAGGATTGTTCTATCAATAGTGTTTAGGTTTCACAAGGTTTGTTTTATGCTGGTTTTTATGTGCTGGCTTGTTTTTAATAGCTTTGTCTTGTTTTGATGGTTTTGAGGTTTTAGTTGTAAGTCACCTCCAGCAGGTCTCTGCAGGGGTGCTATATTCATTTCCCAAACCTATAAACACCCAATCTTTCTGCTGGAGGCCCACGAGCTACAGCTAAGCAGGCTAGCTTCCAAGCCAAACAGGCAAAGCTTTGGGTCTGCAGAGAAGGACAAAAGAAAAGCAAAGTTCAAACATATTTTAGGCTCCAGATTTTAGCAAAGGTTATGTGGGAACTCAGGTGGAAATAAATCCCAGCAGACAAGGGAAGGTCAACTAAAGAACATCAGACGAGCTCTGTGGTCCATCTAGTCCAGCCTCCTGTCTCACTCAGTGGCCAGCCAGCTCCTCTGGACAGCCAACAACAGGGCACAGAGCCTGAGGCCTTCCCCCTCTTCTGCGAGCTGGCAAACACCTGCTAGATGCCAGTGAGGTTTCTAGGGCCAAGCCCTAAAGCGCTCCCCCTGCCTGCAGAAAACAGAATCCCAGCAGAAGCATCACTCCCACAGGAACCTCCTGCACTCTGTTCAGGAATTCAGCAAGATCACAGAGAAATCTCTCTCAGAAATGGCAGACCTTTGAGTGAAGACAGGGATCTGTCTGGAAAAGTGACACCTGCTTGAAGCACATGGTGGCCTTGTTCCTGAATGAAGCTCTGGTGTTTCCAGAACTAACATGGGCATCTTGCCAGGGCCCAATGGGTACAGAATTCTGCACTGCCCGTATTCTGCAACTGGAAGGGCATAAATGGAGCACATCACTTCCCTGGCACACAGCATCTGATGGGAACAGTGACATGAATTTTCAAACATTTTTGCCTCAGCAGGTGTTAACAATTGATAACAGGGAAAGATGCCCTTTGAGATGTGTATATTGTGTTAGGATGAGGAATTGGAGTGGCACTTGGGAAAGTCATCTGCCAGGCTCTGATAACTGGTGACCCTCGAAGACAGGGATCTCTGACGTGGTGCCCCCAGGCACCTTGGTGGCCACTTTCCTGGTGCCTACGAAGTGCTCTTAGAACGTGTGTGGGGCCAGGTGGGGCTCTTTCCCAGCACGGCTCCTGATTCGTCAGTGGGGATGTGGCTGGCTGTGCAGTGGCAAAGCATCTCTGTAGGCACGACAGCTAGTGTTTTGATTTAGAAGCTGTCTTCTGCTACTGTGTCTCCACAGGCAAGCAGGCTTCTGTGTCACCCCCCCCCCACCTCCCCCACCCATGTCCACGAGCTGGAATGCGGCAGAGTCGTACCCACCTCTGTGGCAAGCATCAGCAGAAGAAGCAGAGCCGCTCCCGCCATGTCAGTGCATTCCTAATTTAGTCATTTCCAAGTCGGGAACCCAGAGGTCAGTGGCCGGCAGCTTCCTTGGAATCTTTAGGCAAAAGACACAGAGGCATTAATTAGCATGTTTCGGCAAAAAAGGAAGGATGAAGCTCACATACATTTATTTAAGAGATTTCTATGCACCCTCATCAGAGTCCTGCTTGAGGCATCTTGCAATTCAAATAATAAATTATCACTATAAAAACAACAAGCCATGGGAGAGAAACAGCATGAAATAAGCCATTACAAAAATCCTCAAACCAGAAGCAGACCATTAAAAAAACCCTGCAAAGATAAAACCCTTAATTAAAAGCCTGTGCAAAAGGATATGTTTTGGCCTGACGCCCAAAGACAGTAAAGGAGGCACCAGGCGACCCTCATTGGAGGGCATTCCAGAGGTGAGGGGCCACCACAGAAAATGCCCCATCCCTAGCCACGACCCACCTCTCCTCTGAAAGCAGAGAGTGCAGCCGGAGGGGTAGATCTCATGTCTGTTGTAGCACACGTTGGCCGGCAAGTCAAAATTGCTTCATTTAGGGAATTTCTATAGCATCACTCCAGAGTCCAGCACAAGGTGGTGTCAGAGTAAAAACATTATCTTTAACTGTAAAAACAAAACGCTCTTGGAGGGAACTAGCATATTGAGTGCAGTGGCTTGAAGCAATGTTCCCTCTAAGCTGTGGAGTCTGGTGAGCAAAAATTCTACTTTGTGAGCTACTGGCATTAAAGTTGTGAGCGAGCAAATTGGCTACTGAGCTAAGACAACAATGCGTGAGCCAGAGGCTAAAAAACTGTGAGCTAGCTCACACTAACTCAGCTTAGAGTGAACACTTGCTAGAAGTCTGAGCTGTGAAGTCCTTGGTTCAAATCCCACTGCAGCCTAAATTCACTAAGTGATCTTACGCAAGAGCCTGTTCTCAATCCCGCCCCATGTACAATTCACCTGTACAGGGAAGTAGTAAAGATCATGGAGATAATCCCAGGAGGCGTTTTGTGAACAGCTTAATTTCTATATGCTAACAGTGCTTATCATCCTCCTCCTCCTCCTCCTCCTATATGCACAAAGCGAGTCTGGGACAAGAACAACTGCAGGTTTGCTTGGCTGACTTTTCTTTTTACACCAAAAAGTTTTGCTGGATCTAAAGTCAGCCAGAGGCTGACCCACCAATTTTACTCCTTGGTAATGGGGCTTTATTCACACCCAGCACCGCCTAGTGCTGTTATCTGCCTCTGCCTGTCTCTCTGCACAGCATGGCCCTCTTTGAGGGGATGAAGCTCTTCCTTCCCACATCCGCACTCTGAATCACGTACAACTCTGACTTGGGAACAGGCTTTTTGTTAGAATATACAAGTGTTCCCACTTGAGTCACAAAAGAGTTAATCTGTTGTCTGTGTTTACAAATAGTAGTTAGTTAGCACTAACCAATTAGACATTGGTTAGAAGTTCCAACTACAGAAGCAGGAGACAGCATTCTAAATAAGGGGATCTATGGCTGCGGTCACACGGAGCATTAGCCACGCTACAGAGACGGAAGATAGACAGATTTTCCGGGCGCAATCACACCGCAACATCTGGGAAGCATAGTGCTCCCATGGCGAACCTGAGGCTTCCCACCGAAGATGCGGAGTTAAAAACTAGTACCTCTGAGGTACTAGTTTCCGGAAACCGCGGGGCAAGGGCTGGCGTCTGATCGCGTTTCCGGTGGTGGCATCCGGCGCCCGCCCATGTCCCTTCGCAAACAGGTTCCCCCCCCAAGTCTCCACAAGATGCGCACAAGCACGCAATGGCGCATGCACACAAAGAGGAAAGCGAAAGTGCCGTTTCAGCTTAAAAAAAAAATGACCCCGTTTGTCAGGGCAGCGGCACCTAGCCATTGCTGGTGTGATCGTGCCGCGCCGCTTCTTTGCCACGCTGCAGGATCGTCGTGTGATCGCCACCCTCGTTTACCCGCCGACGCTGAGGGAAGGACCCGTGGTGTGCTGCCGGTGCGTCTGATCGCGTAATCGTGGATCAAACTGTGCCGGAGCAATTAGCCACACCTCCCCCCCGCGATATCCAGCCCGTGTGACTGGGGCCTAAGTTTCTCTATTGGCGAAACAGTTTTATTGAGGTTATTACATGCTTTTGATAGGGGATGCAGTGGCTCAGAGGTTAAGACGCTGAGCTGCAGACGGGAAGTGTTAAGTCGCGAACTTAACAAGGAGTCGGAGAGTGATTCAGCAAGAATGCGGCTTTTATTCTTCAGCTTCGTTACAACTCCAACACGGTACAACCAGGGCTCTAGTCGGGGGGGAGCTCTCAGGTACGGAGCTCCGGAAGAGAACCTCTAGGGGGCGGGGCGGTCACGTGGTGAAGCCCCGCCCCCTTCTTTACCCCGCCCTCTGCTTCGATCCTCATTCCGTTTGGGAATGAGGATGAAGCAGGAGGGTAAGTAGCCGGGCCTTCTGACACACTTCCGGTGATGTCAGGGGGTGTGGCCTTCTGTCACTTCCGGTGATGTCAGGGGGCGTGGCATATGCAAATAACTTATGCTAATGAGTTATGCTAATGAGCTCCGGCAGCTCTTTTTCTACAACAAGACCCCTGGGTACAACAATCGCCAGCCAGAACCCATCAAAGTTCATACACTGGCTGCTCTGTATTTAAACATTCCCGGCTAATATAGCCACGCCCATTGTACAAATAACAACCTATCAGGTTGAATAGATAAAGGCCAATCACAAGCGATCCCGCTCTACAAGGTGATTGGATGACACATCCTGGGCTAGTGCTCCCATTGGTTACATTAGGATCCTAGCCCAGGCTGAAGCTTAACATGAGATGGCAATGAGCTGGTTCACAATACATAGGCATTCAATGTCAGCTATTGAATACACTACAGGAAGGTCTGTAGTTCGGCAGTTTGAGACCCGAGTGCCGCGTGACAGAGTGAGCTCCTGTCTCTGGCCCCAGCTCTTGCCATCCTAGCAGTTCGAAAGCAAGAAGTTGCAAGTAGATAAATAGGTACTGCTTCAGTGGGAAGGTAACAGCATTCTGTGCACCTCGGCTTTTAGTCACACCAGCCACATGACTATGGAAATGTCTTTAGACAGTGCTGTCTCTTGGCTTGGAAACGGAGATGAGCACCGCCTCCTAGAGTCGGATTCAACTAGCTTTCAAGCAAGGGAAACCTGGGCATATTTCTTAAAATCCACACACAACAGAATCTGTTAGTGCTTCTCAGGCACCCTCGCCATTGGACTTGTTCATTCACTGGCTGAAAACTCAATTCATATTTTCTCCCACTTCCTCCATCATACCTGTACTCAGCCGTTGTGGGACACGGAGAGCCCGTATATGTGACAGCTTGGGAAGAAAGGCTGACCACAGACTGTTAGTCTCTTTGCAGACCCACCAAGAACGGCCAGTGTGTGTGTGTGGGTGTGTGGGGGGGGGTTCACTGTCCATCTCCACTTCTTGCTCTGATGCAACCAACCAGCCTCTTTGAAGTTCTTCTCACTCCTCTCCTGCCTGTCTGGACTTCTTGCTCCTGCCATTCTTTGAACACACTTACATGCCAAATCTGACCTTGTTGTCCTTGCTAAGAGCCTCACAAGCAACGGGCATTATCTTCTTTATGATTTCTAAGGGTCTCTCTCCCTGTTTCTCACTTTTGATGAGAGTAACATCACTTTCTGTCCTGCACTGAATCCTCTGTTTCTTACCTCTTTCTCTGCGTATTTTGTGCTTCCACTAAACTTTACTGGGATGATTCTTTTGTTTGTTCCAAATGAGCCTTCATCCATGACTATCACCATGATCTTCTGCTGACAAGTTGCCTGGCCAGGACATTTAGGAAAGGTGCAAAATGCACTGAGAACTATGTTTGATGGGTGAAAACGGCTTTCAAACGGCTTTGCCACTGCACATGAGCAGTGTTCCCTCTAAGCTGAGTTAGTGTGAGCCAGCTCACAGTTTTTTAGCCTCCAGCTCACAGATTTCAGTCTTAGCTCAGGAAGGAGGGCTCCAGACCAAACTAATCTTTGCAGCAGCCAAATCACTCGCCCACAACTTTAATGCCAGCAGCTCACAAAGTAGAATTGTTGCTCACAAGATTCCACATCTTAGAGGGAACATTGCACATGAGGTGTGATAGCTGGGTTTGGCTGCCTTGCCATGGTGGACTTTCATTTCCTTATTCTGCAGGGCCTTGCAATCTGGGGAGAAGAAGGGCTTGGTCAAGTAAATAAATGTGAGGAAAGGAAACTCTTGCCTTTCAAAACACTATTCAAAAATGTGCATGTGCAAAATAATGCTGATAAAATGGACTTAAACAATCACCAAATACCTGTGCTGTCCCTAATCCCAACCATTCCATCTGCCTTAAACCCGTAAACTGGCATTCAAGAAGAGGAATCTGTTTGCAGATGTTCCAGGTTCACTGACCGCTTCCTGCTCCCTTTACTCTCTACATCCCCCCCTTTCTCCAGGAACTGACAGTTCTCCTTTGGCCATATAGCTTTGCCTTCCTGACTCCTACCTGGTGCCCCAGGGAAGCCCTCCAACCCCCACAAGAGCCTTTCTCTGACCTCCACTTATGCCCAGGCAACCAAACATGAACTTGAGTTCCCCTTCAACAAATGCTGCACTTCTGGCTTTATCACAGGAGTGGTTATCAACTGCTGCTACACACAATGAGGACTCCTAATTATTAATCCCTCCTTGGATTTTAGCTGCAAGCCACTTCTCATGCATGCAACCCATTTTCTGGTCTGCTGTCCATGGTCCTAAACCTTGACACCAGAGAGGGGACAACCCATGTCCAATATTCCTTGCTTCCTGATACCTGGGGGAAAAAACCCTGTTTATTGTATGCTAAGGTCCCTATCTAGAACTTTCCTTCCTTCCTTAGGTCTTGAGTAGTCTTGATCTATCCCAACTAAGAATAAAAGGAAGAATTCAAGCCAGAGAGGACAGGGCTCTACTAGGTTAGAGAAGGCGTCTTGTCACAAGCTGCCTGAACTCCCAT